ATTTGTAAAATAACATTAATATTTATTAATTTTATACTATAACAAATATATATATATATATATGTAACTTTTTTTTCCTCATAGAAAACATCATGGTATAAATCTAGTCTTTTTCTATTTCTTATTTCAACGATAATTTATCTAACGTTTGATTTCTAGATTCATAAGCAGTCAAAATAGAAGTTAATACGTTGGAAGTATTTGGATAATTTTTCAAAATCAATTGCTCGGGTTCTGAATACTTCGAATGCCATATTTCATAATATGCATCGCTAGAAATCTCATTCAAGTTAGTTATATTAAATTCTTCTTTTAATGCAATCTTCCATACCTACAATTAATAATAAGTAAGGTAAATATTATTATAAATATGCAACCTAATAAAACAAATAGATAACTGTATTCGTAAGAATGCAAAATAAAATATATAAATAAATAATTAATTTATAAAATCTTACATCTTCTTCCGGGAAAGACATAGGAGCACGTTTGTTTCCAAAAACTCCTTTATTGGTAAAAATATGTAAATTGTATAAAAAATAATTAAAAGTAAACATTTTGTCAGCCTCGGTAGCACTAAATGTTACTGACATGGAAGAGCAACATTCTTTTTGAGTAGGATACAAAGCATGTGTCCAATAACTACCAGGTTTTGCAATTCCCCATAATAAATTATTTAAAGTATAACCATGAAAAGTTCCTCTTAAATATTCATCCCGTGTATCCATAGGTAGTATACCCATAGATGATAAATGTTTTCCTGTACGTAATGTTAAAATATATACATTATAATTTACACACATATAATATTCAATAGTTTAATAAAATAATAAATAAATTATTTACCAAGATAATAATCTTCCTTTTTCCAATATTTACCACCAGCTGCACATTTTTCAGACGTGTTAAACATTTCTATCATTTTTCTAAGCGATCCTTTACTTAATACATAGCCTGCTTGAGCAACGTTATACGGTTGGCCCCACATTACAACCGCATGACCCAAATAATAATTTTCTTCATAATTTAATGGTGCGACTATGTAACGTAAGTTTTCTAGTATCACCATCATATCGTCTTTTACAAAAAGTATCCATTCTTTGACTTCATTGTCTTTCCATATATAATTCATAATTTCGCATAGAAAATGCCAAGAGGATTGAAACTTCATAGTAAAATTGATAATAGGTATATGAGAATCTTGTATGCGTTGTCCAAAGAAATAAATTTTATTGCAATGACTACCCCAAGTATCTTTTATGGATCTCGCCAATTTAACTTTCTCCACAAAAACAATACACGTAATAAATATTTTAGATTTCAACCAATTCGATTCCAATGTAACAGATTCCTGTGAAGTATTATCTGATTTTGGTTCATACAAGTAACGATCCATATCGATAGTATATCTTTGCAAATTGTATCCAGCAAACCACTTATCATAGGACACATTTTCTAATCCCTTAGTCAAATTACTTTTGATCCAATTACGAAACTTGATTCCTCTTGAGAGAAAATTAATAGGTGTCATCCAAACGATAGATAAATCATCTGAATACTGTTGATATTGCCACTTTTTCTTATCATAAATAGTACTTTCATTAACAAAATTTCCTATTAAATAAAACAACGTAGCCAAAACAAAACCGATTCCAAATCCAATTAGAAACGTGGATCTTCTTTGTAACGGATGAAAGGTCATGATACACAATTAAATTCTTATTTCTTTTCAGCTGGAAAATTATAAATTTTAATTTATAAATAATTCCAACGGAATCGATGCTCGTTTCACTTATTTAAATGATTCAAATAACCTTTTGTTTAATATTAACTGATCAATCCATCTGGTTGCATCTTATAGAATATAATTATTGTAAATATAATTGTAAATAATTATTTCTGACAGCATCATGTAACTGAAACTTTAAAATGATTACTTTCATTTTAAACCTGTTTCGAATGATAAATAAAATTAAGTTAATCTATCTGATCTATCAATTTATAATAATCATAATAATTGAAAGTTATGATTCATTGTGTGCATCATTAAAATTCATGAGTTAGATTAATTATTATTTTTAAACATTTTATATTATTTCCTAATAAAATTATAATAATACTTACAGTAACAAATACAAATATCTATTCGTTCTAACTTTTTCAATCTCTTATTATTGCCAATCATTATTAAATTTATCTACGTATTAAGCTTGTAAGTTGCATCCAGATAGGTTATGAAAGATCCTGGATATATAAAAAGAAACAAAAATAACTTAAGTCAGTCTTTTAAATAGATACTACCAACTCAACTAGATAGCGCAGTGATACATAGATGTAATTCTCTTTATTTGAATGTGTGTGAATACTTACTCTACTCCAACACACACGCAAAAATTAAACATATATGTAGGAATATTATGCTCATATAAAAACGGATAAATTATTGGGAACAAATCTTTATTTATGAATATTAGCATCATTAAAAACGATGTTTATGACACGTGACATAATTATGTTTGCATGCTTATTTTAGCATTTAGCAAAATTCGATGAAATTAGTATATACAACAAATCCAAAACAAAACACATTCTCAATGTTTTATAATAATTAAATATAATTGTTGATAAAAAGAAACAAAATATAAATTATAATGTAAAGCTGCACGTTGCAGTAAATTTTGTATTTGTTTTTTATATGATCATTTAAAAATAAAATAATAAAAGATATGAAAGAAATGACGGTATTCTTTAATAAAGCAATTATGTTATCACATGTATTCGCATATTCATAAATATCAAATATAAACAATTTTACATCCTTTTACAAACCATTGCCTATGCAACATAGGAACCGATATCCTTCAGTCATTAACATCTAAAATCTCACGAATATTTTACCCGATCAAAAAGTCGAGTAAAAATCTCATTAAAATGGTATTACATATATCACTTCTTGAAAATCTTGAATTTGATATGATGTTTTTCTTCATTACGATAATATATAATTTATAAACGCATATTATATATCAGAGATAGCATTAATTTTAATAAGTGTGAATCCAGCGCATTTACTCACAGTTATGGCTAATGCTTAGAAGAAGGATTCTCCTTCTAGAGGGATCTTACTTATTAAATTAAAATTATAAATATATTAAGGAGTCCTAGGATTCACTAATTATTAAAATCAATAGCACAAGATAATATGGGACGGAGAAATATTGACGATAAAGAAAACAAAAATCAAACATATGATAATGTTTTTCTTATTTACCACAGTCTATTAGGGCACTTGGTACTTTTAATATCGTGTCGACAACTTTGACTTTCTTCGTCGAACATAGTACCCTCTTCGCAAACAAAGCGAAAGTCTAAAACTTGCTTTGGAGTAAAACCGGGAGAACAATAATGAAACAACCGGCAGTCTCTCATGTCACCATAAAATCTATACATCTCTCTTTCCAGACAATTAAAACTGCCATAGATTTTAGAAATAGAGAAAGATTTGTCTTTCAATCGTCTAGTTGATTCGAATGATGGAATTTTATCGATTCTCTCAATTAGAGTTGAACTAGGCGTTGAAATTGGATGATTTATTGAACGTACATTTTCAGTTGTTGTTGCAACTGTTATATCATGAAGATAATAGCTAGTAGTAATAGGAGTTGTAGTTTCCTCAGTTTCTGTATGCTTCTTTTTATCCGTATATTCTTTTTCTATTAAAGTTGGAATAACTGTTGGTATGGTTGATACATCCATGATATCTTCATTTGTTATATCCGTATTACTTGTATTTGTTTCTGTAGTATCTGAAATGTTACTTGTATCACTACTAGAGGTAGTAACATCTACTGCTGCTATGGAGAGCGTTGATAATCTTGACAAAGGATACGAAGTGAAATTTTCAATATTAGAATTCAAAGATTGTGAATCTTTACTGTCAGTAGATAAAGTAAGAATCTGAGTTACGTTTAAATTGTCTAACATTTTTGTTGTTGTACTTTCAATATTATTTAATTCTTCATTTCTTTTCATAGTGCTTGTCGTACTTTCAATATTATTTAATTCTTTGCTTCTTTTCGTAGTACTTGTAGGTGTAGTAGTGGGTGGTCTTCGAGTTGGTAAAGTAAGTTTTCTAATAACTGGCTTTGGTACTAACTCGTTATAAGATTTAGGTGGTTTGGCTGGTTTTGGATTAAATAGAGGCAATCTGGTTTTAATGATTACTGGATTAGGTGTTGTTGTTGGGGGAATATAATTGTAATTTTTTCTAAGTGAAAATGGTTTGAAGAGATTAGGCACAGAACGAGGAGTTGTGGTTGTTGTTGTAGTTGGTATAGTTGTAGTTGGTACAGTTGTGGTTGGAACAGTCGTTTGTACAGTCGTTGTTGGATCAGTTGTTTGTACAATCGTTGTTGGAACAGTCGTTTCTACAATTGTTGTTGGAATAGTCGTTTGTACAATTGTTGTTGGAACAGTCGTTTGTACAATCGTTGTTGGAACAGTCGTTGTTGTTAACAAAGTTGTTATTGGTGGCAAAGATGTTATTGGTAAAGAACTCGGTGGCAATGTTGACGATATCAATGTTGATAAAGTTACTGTTTCTAACGTGGTTTTTGAAGTTGACGTAGTAGTCAACTGTTGTTCCTTATCTTCAACAAATTTTTCAAATTCTTTAGTATCTTTCTGCATTGATTTGTCTTTCTCTAATTTAATATCATCTGTTTTAACGTCATCTACATTATCTGATAACTTTTCATCGACAGTTACAACTTTAATATCTTTTTCAATCTTATCATCGCTTGGATTTTCAGTATTAACTATAGATTCTTGTTCCTTGTAATTATGTGGCTCGTAATTATCGTCAACATAATCTTGTACAGAAGGTTCAACAGAAACTATTTCTTTTTCCGTACTACTTTCCATTTTATTAATCTTTGGTAACTCGTCGATAAATTTCAGAACACCCGTTGTACTGTCTTCCTGTTCAACTGTTTTAAAATCTTTCATTCCTACAGATTCGGTTACAGTTTCATATGTTTCCGTTATTTGTTCGTGATTGTCAGATTCTATCGAAGTGGTAACATCTTCTATGTTATCAGATTCCGTATAGTCGTATAAATTATACCAATCATAATCTGATGCATTCATAGAATAATCATATTCAGGAAAATCGTCGTTTGAAACTATACTTTCTAAATTTTCCATCGTAGAATGTTCATGCGTTTGATGAAATTCTTTTTCGTCAACGTAAGTTAAATTTTTATGTTTACTTTTATGATAAATTGTTTCCAACGAATAATTTTCTTTTAAATTCGATCTTTCTTCTTCTTGTAAATTTTTTTTATTTTTTAAACGATCACTTTCGTCGTCGTCATCGTCATCTGAATTTTCACTTGAATTTTTATCTAATTTTTTATTCTTACCATTGGTCGTCGATACATCATTCGTAGTTTGATATTGTTCAATCGAAATCTCTTTCGTATAAGAATTGATTTTTTTATCAGCAATATCTATTTTTTCTTCGAAATGTTCTAAAGAAACATTAGTTGTTTCCGTAGTTTCCACATTGCTTACAAACGTATTAGATTCATCATTCTTATTTTCAATACTTTCATTAGATGATTCTAATGCTTCCTGATCGTTCATTAATTGATATTTACTAGAATTATTTACTTTCCCTAAATTATCTACATTCCTTTCTTCGGATTCATATTTGACTACGTTGTTAATTTGTGTACGCTTTCTTCCAACATTTTCTTTATTCGATGTTAAATCTTTTGCAAATTTAGAACTATACTTTATCACAGTATCCATTTCTTTAACTTCTGGTTTATCAGATTTATTCAAATCATGATTATGCGGTTCTTCAATTTCTGTTTGCAAATTAGAGGTAGATGTATTCGTTGATACTCGTTCTTCAGTATTATCAGGATCAATAATTTCGATCATGCTATCGTTTTCTTTTTGATGTTTCCTTTTTGCAGACATTTTTTTTCTAGATATTCTCGAATGAAGTTTTTTCGTTGAAGTATCAGTTCTAGAATTATCGATTTCAGTAGTTGTAATTAAATCTTCTATTATTTTAGAAGATATTATCTTTTCGTTATTAGATTTTTTATTTATCTTATCTGAATTATTATCAATTTCATCTTTCTCCTCATCATACATGTAATCTTTATCATCATCTGTTACTTTATCTTCTAAATCATATTTAGAAACTTGTTCTTGTTTACTTTGTTCCTTTTTATTCATAGACAAAATACTAGAAACTGTAACAGCGTCGACAGATTTGGCGATTTTACTTGTCGATGACATTTTATCTACATTTTTATTATTATCTTCATCTAATATAAACGTATCATCATCTCCCATATCAGAAACTATTTCAATTTCTGTTTCATCTTCATTTTTATTGGATTTATCTGAAATGTTGTATGCAATTATCTGTGAATCTGCATTGTCTACAGTTTTAGTAATATTATCCGTAAACCATGTTACTTCAAAGGTATTACCATTTGTATCAGTATTATTAATCAGTATGACTGATTCAGTTGTTTGATCTACATTTGTATCCGTTTCATAATCTGTATACTCATTAAGATCCAATACTTCTATATCAGATTCAACATTTTCTTCTGATTCTTTTTGATCATGTTTAAATATTTTCTCATCTTGATCATTATCTTTATCCTCATCATCATCATCATCATCATTATCATTATCATCATTATCATCTTTTTCTTCTTCTTCTGAATTTAAATTTATATGATAAGAAGCATTCTTTTCTGAATCATCAACATTATGATCATTTTTAATTGTAATAATCGATTTTTGTTCAACATTTTTTGTATTAATATTTTCATCTTCTTTTAATTGAGTATCATCAGATGTACTAGTATGCCTTAATTGTCTTAAATTTGTATTTACTGGGTATACATTTACAACTCTTGAATTTAGATTCGTTTTTATACTAATAGCAGGATCATTAAGTTGCGTAATTGATCTTTTACTTCTATGATTTCTGACAATTTTGCGTACAACAGCACGACGATGATTACGAAGTTTAGGTACATCGCGATAAAACGGATCAAAGGATTCATCACCTTCTTTATAATCATCATAAGTAGCTGGAATAGTTGGAAGAGGTATAGTCACTAATTGTGTAGTGTTAAGTGGTCTTCCTGTTTCATCGCTAACGCTAGCTTTAGCAGTAACAATGACTCGAGATTGGGAAGGTAACAAAGGTGGTGGTGGGTTTTGTATAATCCTTTGAATATCCGGTGGTGGTAGATTTATAGTGATATGATGTGGTTTCAATTGTGGAACCGGAATAGGAGGTGGCACGTGAATATGTTGAGTAATTTGACCATTAGAAGATGTTGATACTGAAGGTTTCGGTGATGTCCTTGGAGTTGGATAAAATGATTTAATCGTTGTTTCAACGCTAGCCGGAGTAGGAAGAAAATTCGACGAAATTCTTTGCTGTTGAGAAGCTTGGCTATCTTTCTGTTCGTCTTGAGAAGGTATTGGTGATATTGTTAATTTTGATACCTACAAAACACAAACGAATAATATATTTTATTATGTAACATTTTCTTATAATATAAAATATGTCTAATTGTAATATAAAGACTTATATTTATTGTATCAGTATTTTAACAATATTATCAAAAACTGAAGAGACTAAATGGAAAATGCCCAATCCCATAAAACTGGATTTGCTTTCAATGACTTAAAATACTGATCAAATAAATATAATATATAAAAATGTATAACATTATAAATAATAGTATCACCTTTCCTTGATTGGTTGATTGTATAGCTTCTAAAGGAGTAATACTATGCTTACGATGTTCATTGTCACGATACTCTGACGTATCTCTAGGATTATGAACATTAAAGGATTCTGTAGTGCTGACAATTCCATGATTATTATATATTGGATTAATCAATGCTGAATTGCTTGGATTTCTATCCAATAATGTTTGGATAGTCGAAGATGTGATATGATAGATCGGTGATATTGTTGATTGTTCATTACGAATGATTTGTGGACTTGCAGTTGAACTGAATCTAATTTGATGAGCTTGAGGTACTTCTTGAACAGTAGTTGAACTAACACCTTGATTACTAAACAATTGATAAGAAGTTGCTTGATTATCATTTCTATCATCATTGTGAAGAATATATTGATGATGATATCCTTGTCTAAATTGTTGCTGTGGATATCCGGTTGAATATGAACCTCTAGCTGTAGTTGTTGATGGTTTACTTGGTCGTGATGTCGTTGTTGTTGTTGTGCCACTGGTAGAATGTGCAGAGGTAGTACGTTGACTATTTTCCACGGATTCTGAAGGATTATCTTCTTCTTCATTCTCATGTAAGCTAAAACATTTTTACAATGTATTACACAAACAAGTTATATAGGATGATTCAATTAATTAGTACACCTCGAATAATATTTAAACTATGTATCTGATTAAAAAATGACAAAAATTGCATCATTTCAAGATGGACAAATAATAGCTTATCAATTTTTCTTCCTAATATTTAACAAAAATTCACTTTTGTTTCTTTACAAAAAAGGATCAAAAAAGGATCAAAAATTAGAAATAAAAAAAAGAAAAGTATTAATCCACCTCGATCATAAATCTAATGATTGATGTGACATTTTATTTAAAACAAAAAAATTGACTTGGAACATTTTGAATCTTCCACATAAAAATATTAATTAACATAAAATTTGAATATTATTATTAGCGATCTGCTGGTATATGTATATTAATACATTATTTTATATTAATATAAATAACATATTATTTAAACTTACCCAAATGTGACGGCATTGTTGCCATAGAGCTCTAAATTAAGATTATAAAACTGTTCGCTCTTGCTGCAATCAACTTCATCGACACGTTCGCAGACTCTAGTCTCTTGATCGAAGATGGTTCCATTCAAACAAAGGAACCTTATATCCATAATCTCGTCTGAAACCAAATCTCACGGTGAAGAAGAGGAATATTATTCGGGGCTGTTCATATTCAACGCATATTTGGGGAGTTAGTCGATGACAAATCAAATTAAATTAGGGTCTCAAACGATACCCAGTTTCGGGACCCTCAAACTTAAGTTAAAAAAATAAAGTTTCAAAACCAAACAAAAAAGAAAAATAATCAAAAATATTGTACCATAATGCCATTAATCCTTTGCACTCCTATGTCGAGTGTGATTCAACATTTTGAATCTTATCGAATTAATATTACATTACATTCATTTTTTTAAGTTAAAATAAATTTCAAAACGTTGGAAACTGTTGGTAACAACATTGAAATACAATTCGGAGTGTAAAGGGGTTAAATAAATTTATTTAAAAAACGTAACTTTCTCTCTAACCCTAATGAGAAGAAATTTTAAAACCTCGGGACCTTTAAGGGGCCTTACTCATTCGTTTAACTAGATGGGGATTGTAAATTAATATTTCCATCGAACACTATAATCATTTATTTTCCCAATTAATTATTATCCACTATTTAACACAATTCCAATCTTCTATAATAAACTTCGAAACAAATTGTTCAAAACGAATTTTTTCCTAAATTAAAATAAAACAACAATAAAAATAATAATAATAATAATAATAATCATCATCATTTCATGCAACTTTTTACATCATGGACACAAAACTAGTTATATAAATCATTCGAGAAACTCGTCTTTGGAAGGTCACAGGTTCATTAATCTTCGGTTATGAGTTGTGAATGCAAAAAAAAAAGCAAAAAAAAAAAAGAAAAAACAGAAAAGAAACCCATATATAAATGATTGTTGAAACTTTCAGAACATTATTATAATAGCACGCAAAGTGATTGTGCAAACTTAATTTCAACGTTGGTAGATAATTTGTATTAAAATACGAAAGATAAATCTTTATAAGTATGACAATGAGGGATGAGATGGCGGGGAAGGGGGAGGGGGAGGGGGAGGTAGTTTAACGATAGATCTTTCAATTAGATTTAAAATGACATATCAAAAATGAAATTGATATTTAAATGATTGACTGATTAGTGGGAAGATAGGGACAGGGGGCAAGGGGGGGAGAGGGGGAGAGGGGGAGGGAGAGAAAATACAATAGAAAGAAATTTGTATTGTATCATTGCAATAAGAAATCTTGATCTTAATGTTATCGAAAAGGTCCTTTCTCACCTAATAGATCGTCAAATGCAGGGATTAAGTTTTGTAATAGATCGAGAGAGATCACCCGCAGAGAATGTCATGGTCGTTGAGGAACGTTTACTGACCTAAGTCGAGACTCAAGAGTGTCTGGCACTACTGTCTCGTCACGAGAAAATCTTATCTCTTTTACCCTATTATTTTAACACATATGTATATTTTATGTATTAACGTGTACGCGTGTGTTTATATATATGCATATTAAATTATCTATATTTGTCATATTAACAATCAAAGATATATGTTTTATTCAATTGAACAATTAATAATATTGGAATATTATTATATTTAATTGTAATATATAAACATAAAATATATATAAATGATTATTAATATTATTATAATATTCTTTTTTATATGGTATGGTTCATTGTATATATATTTGTTTATTTGTAGATACAATTTTACGTTTACATATATGGTATTGAATAGTAATGCAAATATATATTGTAAGAATTTTAATTAAATTATTGCAAAGGGAGATAGTAATATTTTTTGTTTCTATTTAAAATTCTTAATATTATTTATTGTATATTCAATTTAATAAATAAATAAATATATGTATGTTTGTGCATGTGTATTGAAATAAAATTGATAAAATAAATATAAATAAAAATTCATATTATAAATGCATGTATTATTTTTTAACGTATATGTGCATTCGAATAATTAATTCATTTCGATTTTTTTGTCTCAATGTTAATAAAAAAAAAGAAAGGTCAATAAGAGTTCCGTCAACAGATAGATCTAACAGATAAAAGATCAATATTGATCAACGTTGTGATCACAAAGTGTCAATTATATACAATAGGTGTGGCATTAAACTAGAGTAATTTATCTATATATATAGATACAGATAAGTATAGATATAATATATTTAAAAAAAAGAAAAAAAATATTCTAAATTACCTTTCTGACCGATCGTGCATACATGAAACATCTGACATCCAGTTTCGATGTCCGCATAATAACCACCAATCACTTTTCCTTGGCACGAAAAGTTCGTATCCGGCAGATTATGGAAATCCAAGTACTTCTAAGAACAATTGAATAATTAGAAATATGTCTATAATAACACATATATATATGTTCGAACATTTTTATTCTAATTTATTCCAAAATTAATAACATTCGAATTATCCAATTTTCTTTCATCAGATCACATTGAAATTGTTTACTTTTTTTCAACAAAAATCATTGAAATATTGCTAATATTAACTGTAACTATTAATTATTATGATAATTATATATAAATGTGTGTAATGTATTAAAATTATATTTTTAAATAGGTATTATGAATAATGAAAATTTGGAATTACTCACGATAGCTTCACTTGCGCTGCACGGAGGTAAGCCATGCCGGAAGTTTAGAGCTGACAAGAAAGCTAAAACAAAAATATTCATTTCAAATGAATTCGATTAAATATACATTAATATTTAAACAGAAAACCATTACAAAAAAGAATTACACACGAGTAATATTTACAAGAAAAATATAAAAATATACTTCTATTCGTTAAATCAATACTTTCAACAATTTTTAATTAATCATTTATAACGTGGGAGGGGGGGGGCGCGGAGGGGGTTAAAGTATTTTCGTATTTTTCCGATGATAAAATACGATTGAAAAGAAAACAAATTTTAAACCATTTGGCAAAAAAAAATCACTTTCCCATTAAAATACGAAGAAACCATAATCCCTATCCAATATCAGGTTGAATAATTTTTGCAGTATTACATAAAATTAATTAATATTCATTAAAAATATTGAAAAATAAAAAATACTCGACTCATATAACAATAATAAATCTTAATAGAATTACAAATTAATATAATTGTTACAATGTTGACCAAAATTATCACAGCCATTGATCATAATAATTATGAAAAAAAAAAATCGTAGAATACTATTGGGAATATAATTTCAAATGATATTCCTTGGAAATGACCTAAAGATCATTTTTCTTCGCTTGACAATAGTTGTTATCCTTTAGATTTTTTTTTCTTCTTTTTCCTTTATATTTTTTTAATATTTCTCCGAGAGTGAACTGATTTACACAGGGTATACCTTATATGTGTGTGCTATGCAAGCATTTATGAGTTACAAGTAAAGACGTATATGTATATTATGTGTAAGAAAGTACACGCAAGAGACGAATACACGTAGTCATTGTTATTCGAGGCCTGCCACGGGAAACGGAAGTCCTCCATTATCCTCAAGATACCCGGTATATACCAACAGACTACGAGACATTCTTACGTTCACGTTGATCCCGAAAAAAAAAAAATAAATAAAAAAGGAAATTTTCTGTTTTTTTTTTTTACTATTCCAATATTGAGACGATGAGTCGTTAGAAAATGAATCATATTTCATAATAGTTTTCTTTCTTCTTTTTTTTTTTAATATGAATATATGAATTCTTTTCAATATTTATTAAAGGATTATTTATTATTTATTAACCTTATTATTATTATTATTATTATTGTAGGAAACGTTGTTTTATTTTATATTGAATATATGTAATTGTATTTGTTTTATATATATTTTAAATATAAATTTAACAATTGATTAATTTAACATTTTATTCAATCTTTTTATCGTCTAATTTTTAATCAATTAATTATGATTCAGTAAATGCACAATAATTTTATAAATTTTAATTAATATTACATTACTTATATATTATTTTATCATAAATTAAAGAATATATTATATAAATTTGATAAATAATTTCTAAAATATAAAACTTTATTAGCGAATATAAAAATTTCATCCATTACGAAACACCATTCCTTTAATAATATTAATCTAGATATATTTAATATTATTCATAAATTATTAATAAACGTATAATTGTTAATGAACTAATGGAAAGTTGCTTATTGTTACAAACGATACATATATGTAATATATATATTCATATTTATTCATAGATCAGTGAAAGCTCAACAAGTTAAACCTTTAAACGAGGAAATCATTAAAGAAAAACCATAGAACAAAAAAGCAAGAAAAAAAAAAGAAAAGAAAAGAATAATAATTACTTAATTGTATGTCACGCATATATTCACATTGAAAAAGTGAACTTTCTTGGTCGGTGTAGAACATTCGCGATGCATATGTTACATATGTAACGAATGTGCCCTATATATCGGTTCGCGTGAAAGGCAAACGGTAGCACAAGATATTTCCTTTGATTCGTTTTAATTAAGAAACGTTCGTGATACCGATCGCGCTTCAATATGGAAAATAATATTTATTATGCATCAATTATTTTATTGAAAACATATTTTCCAACAACAACAACAACAACAAAACAAGGATTTTGATAGAAAATTAATTTTACATCGGATCAACCGAAATGTAATTTCATTTTATCAACGATAAAAAAAAAACAAAACAAAAAAAATGAAGTTTAAAAAGTAAGGTTAGGTATACCAGTGTAATGGCGACTAACAAAATTATTTTTAAACGATCAAATAACAATTTTGAACTTTCACAAGGTTTCACGTAAAATAAATTAGGAAGTTAGTCGGATAAAAAAAAGAAACAAAAGAAAAACATTGTATACTCTTTCTCTTGTTAATTAATTGAAACGATCGTTTAAATTCATCTCATTATAATAGGTTCAATGAATGACGTAAGAAGTTAAAAAAAGAAGTCAGCGTAGAATTACAATAATTAGTCGACAAACAGCATACAGTAAGAAAAGTGTCTCCATGTGTGTAACTAAACGACGAATGAATTCTTTTACTTCCTAGATTTGCATTTGAGAAATATGTTAGAAGGAAAGTACATAGTAGCATTAGAATGCTATATGAATAACGAGAAATACATAGTGAACCGTGACGAAATTTCTTTAGCAAGAAAATTCTATTTACTGAAAAGTCATTTCAACTATCTCGTACAAAAATTATGTATATAAAAAACACAAGCAAAAAAAATATATTTCTATTTATTCATACGCCGTGAAAGGTTTGTAAAATTAACGTGGGCGGTATGTTATTTTTTTTCTTTTTTAATAAATAAACTGGTATAGAAATTCTATCGTTTCTTAGATCAACGTAAGAGTAAATTATGATTTAAGGTATTATACAATTGCGAGAACTTACAAATGTTGCATTTAATGAACATTTGAATTCTAATATACGAAGATACTTGTATTCCTTATTCAATAAAATATTAATTGTTTATTCAAATCAAATTTTATAATCATAAATTTATTTAATAAATTATTTCTCCATTAAATCATATTTGTTTAAAATATTATTATTATTATTATTATATTGTAGGATTCAAGGAAAAGATCTGAACAATAGAAATATTAGAAACTATTATATGAATAAAACTGTTTTCAAAATGTCGTCCAGATTTCCGCCATTTTTAAAATTGTCATCTCTTCTTATTGGTGGAATATTCATGTCGTCATAAATAAATGACTGAATAACGTACCGCCATACTTTTCATTTCTAACGAGAAAAGAAATAGACAATTTTCTAATCTATGCAGACATTCCATTGACTTTATTTGTCTCAACGTTAATTATCATTGCCCTAGATCATTTGAAATTTTCATTCGAAAACATAAACAATATCTTCGATTTCTAAAACTTATGTCAAAGAGTGTAACGTTAAATAAAAATATTGCACGCGTGCACATAAAATCATAACGAAACCACACACTAAAAATTTGAAATCAAAAATATAATTCATAATAAATTATATCTACAATTTTTTATTTACTTAATTATTAACTCCCACCCCCATACCTACTAGCCCTTTGTAACATATTTTATTATATAATTATTTATTAAAACAATGAAATTGGTACGAAAATGTTCTCCCCCAGAGTGTAACAACAAATTAATGAAATTTATGTTAATTATCTATCATATATTTAAATTAAATAAGATTCCTATTCGATTTACGGTAGATTTGAATGGACATATTTCCTGTATTCAATAGAATTGAGAAATTCTTCGTAATATCGTTCTAACGTATAGAACCTGATGATTAAATTCTTACCCAGATATTCCCGGAAGCCCGATTAATCCGGCTCTTGATTCACCGTAACTCCGATTATCTGTACAGACAACATGTAGATCTTGTAATCGAATGTAAAAAAAAAAAAAAAAGAATTACTTCAAAAAATATGAAATTATGTTAAATGAGAAAGTGTGAAAGAAATTTCAAAAGAGAAAGCTTATATATTGGAAATATTGATTTCGCTAAATAAAATGGAAGAGAATCTTAGAAATTAACCTCAAAATTATTTCCCCAAGATATTTAAAAAAAAAAAAAATTTCTAGATATAATCGTAAACTTATTTCTTCTTTAAAAATAAATTATATTGATATTTATATCATTGTTGTTGTTTTTATAAGTGCACGCGTGCATTCGTCTTTCATAATTTACAATAATAAATTTGAAAAAAAAAAAAGAAAAAATGCGAATGAACAAAATAAATATATCTACTTAACAAATTATATTTCATTAATCAATCATTTATATATTAACCCGTTTATAATTTAATTTGTTTCTTGTCCGAGTAAAAATCAAATGTAATTAAACTAACAAAACATTTGTCTCGCTTTTTATACTTTAATTTATACAATAAAAATTCTACAACAACTTTCTAATACTCGATAACAATTGTATAATATTTAAAAAAAAATTAAATAAAAAAATCAAAAATGTAAACACCAAATTGTGATTGTAAAATTATATTCGATATCTAAAAAAGAAAAAAAAAAAGAAACAGAAATAATTGATGAGATTTAATTAAATAGATGACAAATGGATGTCATAGTGATGCTAAAAAAAAATATATATACATATCCATATATATATATATATATATATATATTTAAATAGAATTACAAATGTTTTTCTATACATCTCTCTCTTTCTTCTCCAAGTTCAATCGTTAAACCCGCGTTGTTACTTGCACGTTCGAAAATAGTAACGCGCGTCACCAAGGTTTGCCATCCGGCATGAGACCGGTTTAAGGATGAAACTAACGATACCGAGAGAGCCTTTCATTCCTTTTGGAAGGTCGCTTCAAGGATGAAAGTAAAGTTCGAAGATTTAGTAAAACTAGTGTACCCGGATAAATGACGAAATTTTCATCAAATCAATCAAATTTTTAATCCATTTTTCAAGACAAATAAATGATACCCAATTAAAAGTATTTATTTTCGAATTTATACCTTAATAAAACATTAATATTTATAAATTAATATATATATCTTGACATTTTTATAATTAATTATTAATTCATTATTTAAAAAATTCCATAATGAAGTTTTTATTAAAGATTGTTATTTATTAGGGGTTGTGTGTGTGTATTTTTTTATTCATTTTATTAATTATCAATCAAGTATTTAATTCTAAGAAAATATAGTAATAAAAGGCTACTGTTTATTGCATAGATATTTCAATGAAATTGTTAGTATATACAATAAAATATTATTATCAATTTATATTCCAACATAATCCTATCCTTACAATAATTATTGATCACCCATTTAATCTACTAACAAATTATTATCCACATCTAACCAAAACCTATTCAATAAATATTCAAAAATTATTGAATTCAATTAAAATAAACTGTATAATAGTTTAAACACTACAATAAGATGGTCAACAAAATGATAGTTCAGCTAATAAAGAATAAAAACAAAACAAACAAATAAAATAGATTAATTCAATCATTTATAGTTATATATATAACAAGTGACAAATATAATATTAAAAAAGTTTTGAAGAAGAAAGAATGAATAATCCTTAAAATAGAATGCTTTCGAATTCATCATAATCGTTATTAAAATCACAATTTCTTTTCTCTGCTCTCGTAAAATAATTATTCGGCAACGTGAGAGAGTGAAATTAAGATCGTGACTTAGTAATGTGCGTCTTACGTGACTTCGGCACCAAGAGACACGCTTCGAAAGGTCTAACCGCATCCTTGCGCCGGAGTCACGCGGTTACATAAGGAGAAAAGTCAAAGTAGAGAAAGAAATGTTCAATGTGTGTATGTATATATATATGTGGTATGTAAAATGTAGACTGATTTTGAATAAAAAAAAAAAGAAGAGTAGATATATGTGAACGATGAATCAATAAATTTTATGAATTACACTTCCCTTCTCTTTCTTGGTGATTATTACAACACTTTCTGAATAATGACACTCATAGGTATGTGTATATGTAAATATATAAATTATTAGGTATATTTAAAATGACTGATCAAAATAATTTTTTAATTCCATATTTGGTTATTTCAGAAGCAATTACTAGGAATATGAAACAACTAAGTTAGTTATACTGTAGTATGTAAAATGTATACTGATTTTGAATTAAAAAAAGAAAAGTAGATATATGTGAACGATGAATTAATAAATTTTATGAACTACACTTCCCTTCTCTTTCTTGGTGATTATTACAACACTTTCTGAATGACACTTATGTGTGGTGTATATGCAAATATATAAATTATTAAGTATATTTAGAATGACTGATAAAAATAATTGAATCAATCCATATTTGGTTATTTCAGAAGCAATTACTAGGAATATGAAACAACAAAGTTAGTTATACTGTAGTATGTAAAATGTATACTGATTTTGAATTAAAAAAAGAAAAGTAGATATATGTGAACGATGAATTAATAAATTTTATGAACTACACTTCCCTTCTCTTTCTTGGTGATTATTACAACACTTTCTGAATGACACTTATATGTGGTGTATATGCAAATATATAAATTATTAAGTATATTTAGAATGACTGATAAAAATAATTGAATCATAAAGTAAAACTAATTTTTTAATTTCATATTTGGTTATTTCAAAAGCAATCATTATAAATATGAAACAACAAAGTTAGTTATACTACAGTATGTAAAATGTAGACTGATTTTGAATAAAAAAAAGAAAAGTAGATATATGTGAACGATGAATCAATAAATTTTATGAAGTAAACTTCCCTTCTCTTTCTTGGTGGTCATTACAACACTCTTAAAATTATAACACTCATAGGTATGTGTATATGTAAATGTATAAATTATTGGATACATCTAAAGTGATTCATGAAAATATTCTAACAATAAAAAATGATTATTTTTTTAGTTTTATAATTGATTATTTAAAAAGCAATCACTATAAATATGAAACAACAAAATTAGTTGTACTATAGTGTCAAAATATTTTGGGGAATAACTGTACATTTATGAACATTAAATAATTAAATTACCAATCATTAATTACAAATTTAAATGTAATTATAATAATCATTGTTAGAATTTGTAATGAAGAATGAAAACTATTGAATTAAGTAAATTAATTCAATCCTAATATATTATCTTCTAATTACACAAATATTGAATAAAAACAATGGAAATATTATATATAATTATTATTATTAATTATAATAACATCCAAATATATTATATGTTCATGTGATAAATTTTAATAATAATAATAATATATATATATACCACATGATTATTATTATTTTATGGTAATAAAGAAGTCATTGAACGAAACAATAATAAAATCAATTGAATTCTAATTAAAGAAGGTGTGGTTGTTCACAGTCGTACTAATCGCTATACAAATCACATTGTCTTCTCGTTTCGATCGATTCCATTTATATTTCTAACAGTTAAAAGTTGGTTAATAATAATCGACACTCTCGTTAAACAATAGACAATAATCCAATCGTGTTTGTCAATGCCAACGGATGGGATCATAAAAATGGGACCAGATTAAAATTAAAACAATGTTAATATTGTTTTTCGTCTTACCCTGTAGTAGAAGTCCATGCAGCGCAAAGTTCATGGCTGCTCAATAATTCCTTCGACCTATAAAATACAAAAAAGTCAAAGAAAATATATATTACAAAATAAAAAAACAAAATATGATTAATACAAATTATTTACAACATTTCATATATAAATATTTATTCATTCCTGTTTGGGTTAACCGATAAGTATTTAAAATCAATACACTTTTCAATAAAAAATAATCAAATTCTGACAATTATTTTAAGTTGTTCGGAAAGTAATTTCGTTTCTTCATCGTCAACAAAAGAAATGATTTTTTCTAACAATTAACAATTCAAAATGTTTTATATGAGGATTTAATTTGATAAATTCGACTTTTCGGTTATTTCTAGAATTGTTATGCAACAATTAGCATCCATCAATATTGTTTATTTTATCCTCAACCCTTTCAACTAATTGAAATTACTCATCGAGATTTAAAGTGAGATTAGGTATGAATAATAATAATAATGATTGACGAAATTTATTGGCAAATAAACGAAATGATTTTTCGAAATACACAAATACAAATGTATTATAAATATTTCTAAATTTTTGATTATAAAAAAATTAAAACGAGAAAGGGGGAAGAAACGTTCTTACGTTTGTATTTCGCAAGGAACACATTTTTTTTCGATCGTTTCGGCAACTTCCTCGTCTTTCGTCTTTTTTTTTTTTATTTCTTTCTCTTTTTTTTTCTTCTTTTTTTGTAAACCTTCCCCACTCAAAGTTTGCGGTCAAATGTGGAATTATTCACGGGTTTATATCCGTGATTTGAATTTAACAAGAAACGTGACATGAAAATCGTTTCAAATGAAAGCGACGTAGTTGATTTGTTGCTTCGAATGAGGAAAACATCTGCAATTTTTTATACGAGTTACAAATAATTAGCATACAAACATTTCTTTCGAGCTCGAAAGTTCGTAGAAAAATAAATGTTCGTATTGTAAAAGTATGTTTTAAAATAAATTTAACCGTTATACACATATATGAATTATTTTTCTTTAATATCATTAATACGATAATAACAAACTATTTTATATTTTGTTCGATATAAATAATTTATTATAAATAATTATTTTTTTGTTTCCATATATAAATTATCTAATCACATTTCGATGCATTACATTGTACTACTACTTGTTTACGTTTTAACTGCATATTAATATTTAACAAAATAATGTTTATAATAACAAATATTAACAAATTGTCGTAATATTTTAATATTATTCAAATACTAACCAATCATAATAACACACAACAATGCATTTCATTATAAACAATATTATCTTTCAATTTATTTAAAATATTAATACATAATCCTTCTTCCTACACCTAAAAACAAATAATTAAATTTTATATAATAATAATAATAATAATTATTATTACGGATTACAATTTAAATTAAATTATTAATTAAAATAAAAAACTTCATTGAACATACTGATTTAACTATTTTTCTTTTTTTTTTTCTTTTCTGAAGATATTAAATTACTTAATTTCTTTTGATAAAATTTCTTGTTTTTGGTTTGATTTTCTAATATAAGAAATTGACGTATTTCGTTGTATTCGTTACCGAATATACTACGAAATAAAATAAAGTGGTGAAAGTAGTTGTTCGCTCGCGGGTACAATCGGCCGATGAGAGTAACTATGAGTTAACGATGACAGGGATTAAGCAATCGTTTCAACCTTCTTAAAACCCTCCCATCCCGTAGAGCTGCACGATTAAAATGCATCCTCTAAAGTGAAACCTCTTTACGAGTTCTCATTCTTTTCTCTCACTTTAAATAGATTTTATTTTTTTCTTTAAACACAACAAATTCACCTCGAAAAAAAAAAACAATACAAACTTTTCTCGCATCATTAGAATTAAGAAAAAATATATGTATATAATATATATATGTATAAATAGATAGTATAAATAAAATATGTATAAAATAATGTATAAAAATATATGTATGTGTGTGTTTGTTTATTCGTTAGCAATTTTGTTATATAATTAATATAATTTATTTTATTAATAAATAATTTATTTAATCTTTCTTATAACTCTATTAATTTTTCATTAATTCTTTATCATATTCCAATAATAATAATAGTATATTAGGCAAATTTATTTGATCATAAATAATTAAATAATATAATTCACAAATCATTTATCAGCTTGTGTGTGTGTGTGTGCAACATTATCAAAATATCATTATCATTCTTATTGAATTTAAATTATCAAATATAAGCAAAGACAAAAACTTTTCGTGCAATTCAACACACACACTCACACACTATAGCTTAAAACGTTAAATATTCTAATAAAAATAAAATTTTAATTCGTAATACTTCGTATTAATAAAAAAATAAAAGAAATAATTACAAAAACGTGCATACGCGTGAAGTTTGCCAATTTTTGTTCCTACAACTGCAACTAACAATTTGTATTTTTTAACAATGATAAATCCATCGTGAGAGAAACTATATATATATCTTAATCTTAGATAATCTATCTAAATCTATTAGCAATTAGAAGAAAAACGATACGATTTCTTACGTTTTTTCTTTTTCTTTTTTTTTTTTTTGTCAATTTCTTTAACTCATAAAGTTTGATTTCACTTTGTTGAAGAGCTCAAACACGTGTGAAAGAGAAAGGCGTTTCCACATCTTGTGCTTGATTCCAGAATATTACCTACTCGTACTACTCAAATAAAATTTTAACATACTTAAACGATTGCTCATAAGAAAATCAACAACACCTTTTGATTATTCTAATCTATTCAATAATCCTTAATTATTTCTATACACGCGCGCACGTGCGTGTATGTTCTAACACATTTTCTTGCTACAGGTCAATCCCAAATTAAATGACGCATCATTAAAATGAAATAAAATGCAAACTGTTAAGAAATTAATACGATTACGGTTCGTGACATTAATTATGAACGATCAAATCATTCTAATGTTTCATTGTATTAACTAATATTAATTATAATTAATGTTCAACTGTTTCATTTTTTCGTTCACGTTTGATACAAACTTTTGACATCAATTTTCTATTCAAAATTTCCACGAATCTTCAATTCAATTTTATTAATGCTAATTTTTATATTATTATTCAACTCATTAATGAATTTTTAGATCATTGAAGTATATTATACTTATCTACAATTCCCATAGAAAAATATCTAATGGTTGTTGAATTACGTTATCTTAAAGTAACCCAATAAAGATATTCCCACATCGTTAAAATTAATTCGTCCATTTAATTTTTACTTAAACATAATTTCGTTAAAATAAAACTGAACTTTTACAAAAATATCATGCGAATCCTAAAAACATGAAATTAAGGGAGAGGGGGGGGAAGTGTTTCTTCATATATTTTTTTTCAAATAAATAACATAACATTTGATAATATTGATTAACGATTAAAAAACCAAGTTGTTATAATTCGTTCATTTGACTAACAAGTCAAACGCTGATTCGAAAAGTATTCTTATTAATCAACCAATGATCGTTGAAATAATGCAAGAGAAGGGCAAAAAAAATGAAAATCGAATAAAGAATTAAAAATCGATCAAACTTATAAAAATTTATAATCATAAATACAAGATACGAAATAAAAATTTTGGGAGTTTTATAGGTTAGGAATTTGTTGCCTAGGGGAAAAAAAAACAAACGAAATACGAGAAAACTGTTTACCCCCACTCCCATCTCTACTACCCCTTCCCCTGTGTCAACGAGTTCGTATTTAAATTTTAATTTACAAATGTGTATCGTTTAATTTTGAATAATCCTGTACAATTGGGAATCTTTTGAAATGCCTAGGGATAATATACGCCCAGCTTAAAACACCGACGACACACACCAACACACATAAATGTACTTTTAAGAAAGCTATATATATACTCACGTTTGTGATGTTGCTGCTTCTTACTACTGTCGGTGTAAATAATGAAATACCGAAGGTTACCTCATAAACACGTGCATGCGTTATCCGTCATTTTAAATGTCAAGTTCAAAATATTAAGGACAGTTAATATAAGAAGGCACCATTGTGTACACGTACAAGAGATAACAATTATTAAAAACTTCGTAATTAAATATTTTAAAAAATAATTTTATAGAAGAAGAAAAAAAATAAACGAATGATCGGATGAAAGATGTTTTTCTTCTAAAGCCCCCCCCCCACCCCCTCATACATATATATTTATATTTATATATGCGTATATAATATGTGTGTATACGAAAAAGAAAAAGAAAAAGATGTGGCACCGTTAGAAAATTTGCATTACACTTTCACTGATCTAAAAAAACACCTACAGGGTGTCCCATTTTTAACTATTGATTTTATTAAGTAATATTTTAAGGAAAATTTGTATGAGAATGTAATATTTATCATAGTTATTTTCTAGAGAATACTGTTGTTTTTTAGTTTATAAAAGACATAATTATGTTTTTTTTTTTCAATTGGAAATTGATATTTTAAATATAATCAAAAGTCTTAGAGAATATTTTTTGTTAGAAGATACGAACGAGTAACAATGGTAAATCTTTTTTCAATCAATTATTTTCCCTTTATATTTTTTGTTTTATTTATTTATTTATTCATATTTCTTTATACAGGAATCATTTATATAAAGTTGTTATAATTTCTTTTCTTTATTTTCTCTTATAATTAAAATCACATTTAATCTTACAATTTAAAATATTAATTTAAATCAATTATATATACAGAACTTCAAAGCTCCATAATTTAATGAACAAAAATTAATTAAAAAACCATATATTATAGGATTACTCGTTGAATTCTTATAATCAACGTATCCAACAATTATCATTCGGCAGAAATAAAATTCTTCCAAAAATATCGTATTTTGAAAAAAACAATGATTATTCAAATTTCTTATAAAAAATCTAGTAATATTTGTTTGTATTCGAAAGATTTATTACCAAAAAATTACTAGTATATTAGGTTATGTATTTATTTGTTATTTTTATTTAAGAATCACCCTGTATATAAGATCGTCTTCTATACACGTACTAAA